GAAAATGAATATCACCGACATGATCATCCACACATCTAGACACTAAATTGGATTTGTGTACAACTGATAACAAATACTGGGCAAAAAAAGTTACGGATTAGGAACGAACTTTGATGTAGCTGACGCGAGGTAGATGACGCAAAACGTTACCGAACTGAAATGTCAGTGCCAGTAGTGACGAAACACCCAAAGTTATCCTGAAATTTGTAAAACAAATCTTACAAAAAATTTGAATTTCTTGAACTTTCAAGAAAAATTCTTTTTTGAAAAGCTGCAGTATAATGAATGGTGATGCGTGTGAATATGAGGGAGATTAAGTGAATTTAATTTTTGAGGGTGCACGCTGATGCACAAATGTGTATGAAGAGTCATATCATTGCATGATATTTAACATTTTAATGTAACAGAAATTTCCAGTTCTCAATCTCTTTTGGTTTTGAGGAGCCAAATCGAGCTGAACTTGAATTAACATGTGAAAGCATAAAAAGTTTTGTGGTTGCAATTTGTTTGACTGCATTACTAGTGCAAATTACCTCACTAAGATTTGCGCGTGGTTTCCTTTAAAGCTGAAAAATCGGCCTAAATTTGAATTTTTTTTCTTTGAATTGTAGCGCAAAACATAGCTCACTAAGTCTTAGAGACCTTCCGGGTCTAATCATCTCAAAATACCCGCCGAACAAATCTTTCAGCAATACCGGTTCCACTGTCCAAATTAGTAAATGCATCAAGTGGCATCATTCACAGCACTAATGTCACATAACGCCTTGAACATTAGTGACGCACAAAAATCGATGCAAATTAGTTTTACATTTTGCTGCTGACTGTGCACTCTCCGGACATGCTGTATTTTACAATATAAATTAAGCATACGCAAAGAGAGCGCTTTCTACTAAGGCATAAAAATTTTAAAATTCGAATAGCTCGAAATTTATCTTGAAATCCATTGATTCCTCGGTCTGTGGGCACAGACCACATATTCGAATACGAGAGCTGCTGTAAATCCAAACAGAGATTGCCACCAATTTGAAAATTAAATGCTTCCACTTCGTTAAACCGGTCGAGAGAATGCAATATTGAACTTTTACATGTACTAGTGCATTCGGTCACTAGTGCCTACAGATTACAACAAAAACAAAAAGATGACTAGCACTGTGATGTGTAGAAATAACACTCAAATGCATTAATGCACCGTGTAAAGTTTATATTTATCTTCACAACTCTCACCTCTATCCAAATTATTCTTCTTGTTCTTGCTGTCTCTCTCTCTCTCTCTCTCAGTTTTACATTTCATTCTTATATCTGTTTTGCAAAGTCGGCACGTAATCGTTCAAAAAATGGCGAGTATGAGGCTGTATTGATGATTCCAGCTTCTACCCGCATACAGCACTCTTTGTGTATGTAAAGCCAAGAGATGAAAACTGACCGGTTTTTTAACACGCTTATTCACTGAATAGCTTGTAAATACTGGCCTGCTATCTAATATTATAAAGCCAACCTAGTCAAAGGATATTTTTGATGCATTGCTAAAACTCACCTTGCAGAAACAGATCGTACATCGAAAAAAAATCCGACCCATGAGCTGATGACGGTCAGTGATGTGGGAAAATAGGACTGGAACAGATAAAAGCCGTAACGTCGAGCAAACGTAAATTTTACCTTAAAAAAATATGCTTCAAATGCAACATTAATTCATCAAAGCGGAACCAAAAAGTGAGAACCGGAACAGGTACATTTTCTTCCAAACCAGACATACGCGCATCCGTCTGAGAATTTGCAATGAAGCTCAGAACGCTAACAGTTTTTGAGGGCAATTTAAATCATGACAGGCCATAAATGCCAATTACTGTTTGTTACGGTGAGAGCTTTGGCTTAGCTTGAATTTTTCACTTGTTTTTTGGAAAATTTTAAGCGCCACGCATTAAGTACGTGGTAACCCG